TGTTCAGCCTGGAGAAGAGGAGGCTGAGGGGAGACCTTATCGCCCTCTACAATTGCCTGACAGGAGGCTGTAGTGAGGTGGGGGTCGGTCTCTTCTCCAAGGTAATGGGTGATAGGATGAGGGGAAGTGGCCTTGAGTTGCGCCAGGGGAGGTTTAGATTGGGTATTAGGAAAAATTTCTTCACTGAAAGGGTTATCAAGTACTGGAATAGGCTGCCCAGGGAAGTGGTTGAGTCCCCATCCCTGGAGGTATATAAAAGACGGGTAGACGAGGTGCTTAGGGACGTGATTTAGTGGTGGATAAGTACAGTTGGACTTGATTTTAAAGGTATTTTCCACCCAAACAATTCTATGATTCTATGATACCCATCCCCAGGGTGGTGCCTAATGTCCAGGGCTGGGTCTGCCCCGGTGCCCCCCGGCCACCCTGCTCATGGCTGGGAGTGCCATGCCATGCCCTGCCATGACTGACCCTGGCAGTCCTGGGGCCTGACAGGAGCCAGCCCAGGACTCCTTAGGACACAGTGCACAGATCACACATCTGCGAATGGCTGTCATGGACAGAGGTATGGTTGCTCATGCAAGCCCACCCCAAGTGGGAAGAGGATGGCTTGACCAGCTCCAAGCACTAATGTAAATGCAGCCTGTGTAGAAGCAAGTTGCATTTACTCTGGTCATTTAATCCATTATTTGCTACGATCCCTGCCACCTGCATGAGTTTTCTTCCACAACCTCCTGTTTGTTGCTAAAAAGACTTGTGCAGAAACAGTTTTCTTGGGGAAGGTGCACTGTATGTATGTGTGCAAGCTGGGTGTTTTGAAATGCTGCAGGCTCAGCGAAATTTCTCCCTGAATGTCAGCCCCTTGCAATGCTTCCTAGCACAGACAAGGCTTTAGATCCTTTTGTCAGTGTCAGTATCACCTCTGAGACTGCCCTTTTTAGTTCATTTTGAGAGTAAACAAAAGCAACGTGCATGAAAATACCCCCAGCATGGAAGACCATTGACACGTGAGGCGGTGGGGAACTGCAGTTCCGACATGTGCTGCCTTTCCCACCGTTCACAGTAAATGATGCCCAGGGACAGGCTGCCATCCCACTGCACGAGACAAATGTGGGTTTTCATTTTCCTGACACGCTGGTTGCCAGAAGATTTTGTTCATTAAAAAAAAGAGAAAAAAGAAAAGCAGATCTTTGATATCTCTTTGCATGTGGAGGCTGACTTGAAATGAAATGTAGTGAGAATTAAATAAAACAACTCTACCCCATAAGATATCTAGCCTGAGTTAATGATAGCTGATTTTCTTAGTACTCCAGTACTATGATTGCACCTTGTCCTCCAGATAAAAGCAATAGAACTTCATAAGAAAAGACAACTCACCTTTCTTGAACTGCTAGTGCTTCTAGCATTAGGTAGAGGAGATAATTTTCTGGTTGAGATGAAAGTCAGCGAGTTGTACAAAGGTTTCTTACCGTTAAGGACAATGCCATGCAAACAAAGGTGAACTTCTTGATATGTGTTGCTGTGACGGTGCTGTTGGTGTTCACCAACTTATTGCTGGGGTTATTCTAGGGCGAGAGAAAGAGATAACGAGCATTAGCTTGGCTCCAGACAAGCGGGAGGCTGACGGCACCAGGTCATGTGTTGGACCTGACTGTCTGTGCGCAAGCATGTCTGTCTTTGCTTGTTTGCTTTTTAACCCAGAGCTTTCTGAGTACTTTGTACCACCACAGAATATTTTCCGCTTAAACTGACAGCAACTGCTCCTATCATCACTGAGGGTTGCTTAATCTCCCTACTCTTCTAAGGAGTAAGTCTCATTTAACAAATTCAGATTTGAAAAAGGGTGGTAGCTCTTTCTAAGGAAACTGCACATAATTGTTTTTACCTTAAAGTTTGTAGCATGTTTTCTCAGGAAAAATAGGATTCCATTCCTTTTCACCACAAAGTGGTACCGAATCCATATGCCAATGCAAGCACCTTTACTGATCCGATTAGACAAGTAGGTAATATAAACAAAGCCCCTGGAACAGCTGGCTCCATTAATGCAGTTTAATGAACAGAACATAATTAGGACTATTAGATGTTCCACCTTGAACATGGGCTCTGTACTCATATGGCAGCAAAGTTTAAAACAACAACAAAAGCCCTCTTCCAAATGTCTAATATAGCAAATGAAGCTGAAGATTTAAAATTGCCCTCGGGGAACACATAAAAACAAAGTAAATGGTCTGTGAAAGGAGAGGATGGGATATCAAAGGCAGGGCACCATTAGGAGCCCTGTAGCAACAGGCTGTTGGGTCATCTAGTGCATTTACCCTGCGGCTGTTTGAGATACACAAGTATGTGCCCACGCTCATAAAACCTGTGCCATGAGATGTAGGACAACATTTGTTCATCCTTGATGTAACTCAGGTAGAACAGCAGTATCTGTCACACAGTCAGCCTCCTTTACTGAAGTTACTCCTAAGAGAAATAGGAAATTACGCAAATGCATCTTGGGAGCGGACAAACTGAACGTGAGCTCTGTGAAGGGTACACCATTTCACACACATTCAAGTAGTTGATGGAATTTTGTATTTTAAAGCTTTTTGTGGTGATCCATGCAGCAATGGCACCCGGACAGTCCCACACTCCTGCCTAAATATCTGCTTGGAAGTTTGGGTGCCTGAAGATGCATGTAGGCAACCCAGACCCTAAAGCAGTAAGCTACGTCTGCCCTTTTTGGGAACTGGTTATGAAAACTCTCTGTAAACATTTTTTTAATGCATCTATTCTTATTCCTTGTGTTTCTGAAGAAATACTTTGTTATTGTTAGTTTTTATGTACGTGAGAATAGGCCTTGCTTACATAGCTCACCAGAGTTTAAACAAACTCTGCTGCATGGCTCAACTTTCTAACAAGGGTAAAATAACAGAGAGGAAGGAAAGCACACCCAAATCCAGCCATCCAAAAGGGCTGTGAAGAAAAAGGGCTCTTGTTTGTTCCTACCTCGCTGCTGCTAACTCTACCCTCGCTCTGCTCCGCCCTTTGCTCTCACTCCAGACCACCGACTCTTTACTCCTATCTGTCTCTTGCACACAATTTAGTTCTTGGATCAAAACACAATGCAGATTATGGAGCAAAAGGAGTATTCATTCCCATCTATTAATCAGATAAATAGAGCTCATAAGTCCTCTCTCAGCCGGTGCTGCTGCTCTGAATCAGATGGCACAGTCCATTAAGAGTAATGGTATTATCACCGTATAAAACAGCAGAGGACAGAACTAGGATATGCCTGTTTTCTTTCAGAAAATCATAGAATCATAGAATGTTTTGGGTTGGAAGGGACCTTTAGACGCCATCTAGTCCAACCCCCCTGCAGTGAGAAGGGACACCGCTAACTAGATCAGGTTGCTCAGAGCCCCATCCAACCTGGCCTTGAATGTTTCCAGGGATGGGGCCTCCACCACCTCTCTGGGCAACCTGTTCCAGTGTTTCACTACCCGTAGGAACCCCTTAACCTGAGTGTAACTGCTGGGCCATGAGGTTGCTCTGGACACAGAGTCTCATAAAAGACTGAAGCAGGACCCAGCATCTCTCTTACAAATGTGAACACAGGTAGCGATTTCCCCGTGAGGACAAGAATCTGACTTCTCCAGTAGAGCCACTGAAGAGGGGCATACTATCTGGATCCCAAATCCCATCAGCCAGTTAAGGCAATGCAGTGCGCTTCTGGTGGCCATCAGCACTGCCAGCTTTCTCAGTTACCGATGAAAGAAAATGGGAGTTTGAATGCATGCAAACTGTTTCAGCACCTGAAAATACTAGAGACTTTACAGAGTCCAGAAATAAAGTGATTCTATCTGGACTCTTCTGAGAAAGCCTTAGCTTAAGGAAACAAAGCTTTGAAAGGCACGGTGACATGCAAATGACGTGTAACTGAGGGTAATAAAGCAATTCTCACATCCATCTAAAAAAACTCTCTCTGGGTTTCTGGTTTGGTATTTATTGTCTGAAACATACAATGGAGGCATTTGCACACATGGTTGCCAGAATAAGATACCCTTTGTACTGCTGCTACCTCACCTAGCACATTTTATGCCAAACTGCTCTTAAAACATGCAACTAAAATCCCAATTATATGCCTTTTCAGCAATTAGATAAACTGTACCTATCTGTGCCTTACCCTAGCTTTTTCTTCCTCACATTTGTTCCACAAGAGCTCCATGTAAAAGGCTCTAAGCCTTTTAACTGAAATAAACAGACAAATCATGGTCTGATCCTGTCACCACTAAAGTTGTCAGCACGTCTTCCACCAGCTAAATGAGACCTGAATTTAGGAGTCTTCATTGCTGTTAATTTTGCTTGGCAATAGTGCATCTGATTGTGGCTTGTAACAGATGAGGTTAGCAGCCCCTGTGTTTCCTGTCCCAAACCATTTTTATCTTGCAGTTTATTGGTTTTGCATCTGCAGTTCCTTTCCTTCTGAGAAAGCCTGCATGTTGTATTGTATCTGACAGGTCAGTCTACCTGAAGTTATGGCTGATTTGACTCTGTTTTGGTTTTAAGTTCTCCTTGGAAATATGGTGGATCACATCAAACAGGGCTTGCTTCAGCTAAGTACATCCCTGAGCAAGCAAACATTTTTTTGATCAGTATTTGGAACCAGAAAGTTCAGTTGCTAATTGGTAAATAAAGGGAAGGAGAGGATCTGGCATTTGAATTTGGATGTCACAGGACACGGCTGTTCTTCGCACAGCATATGGGCTAGTGAGTACCAGTTCTAAACCAGAGCAAAAAAAGAGTCTAAAAAAATTAATTTTCGTTATATATTTACTCTGTGTGCTTGGTTCCAGGAGCAGTCCTTGCATTCTTACATAATTACATGATTTGCCAACAGAAATCTTCATAGTCTTGGTCAGCTAAGTATGTTGTCTGCGTTACTGCCAGTCTATGAAACAACCTTTGCTAAATATTAACATAAGCAAATGAACCCAAACCCATTTGAGAGATACCGCAGAATCTGGAGCAGAGAGGTAAGCTTGCTCACTCACTGATGGACACTTTGTGAGAAATCACTTCATTAGCTAAGTAGCTACATCATAGCAAGTAAGTGAGGACGTTTTTTTAATCCTAAAAAATACAGCACTTATCTATTAAAAAGGTAGCTTAATACCTTGTAACACAGAGCGAAGGTTAAAATCATAAATCAGACAACAGCTTGAAGACACCAAAACCAAATTAATTTTAACTAGGATTTTAAGAAAACCTTATCAGTGGGACAAGGAACAATAGTCATCAAAACCAAAAGTAAAGAGAAGCAAGACAATAGATGATCATTAATAGAGCCCTACTTAATCTTTGGTTAGTTTATTTTTTAAATAATCTGTTGCACTTGATAACAGAGCCATGAACTTTCTTCATATTTGTTTGGCAGAAATTCCTCTGGCGTCACCGAAGCCACCCCTAAATTAAAATGTTGTAACAGAGAGAAAGAGGAGGACCATGCATGTGAAACCACACCAAAGGTATTTATTACATTGCTAACAAGGGCACTCACCTTGTCAAAAGCAGGGTATACTGCCCTGATCTCTGTCAGCCAGCCATACGGCATGTGTCCCACGGGATACGTAGCTGTCAGAATTGCCACCGCCTATGAAAACAGACAGGGAAACATGAACTTCAAATCTCTGAGCAGAACAGTTAAACTAACATAGGGTGCCATTTCCCACCAATGTCACCACATTGGCCTTGACACAGCGAGAAACCAGGCAGGCGACTGGAAGCTTTTTGTTTCAGGAACACTGTCAGAGTGGCCATCATTTGGCCCGGCATTTTAAACTTACAAAATCCTACATGCCATGAAGCTACGTTACTCAGCTTTGTCGTTCCACCATCACACAAATACTTTGGGATAACAGTTAACTTGAGCTGGCGTGAGCCCCTCAGCCAGCCACGTAACTCCCTTCCACACTGCTCCTGAGTTATTTTAGCTACAGACACCTGAGTAGCAGAATGCTAGTAGCTTTGTATCAGATTTCAAAATTTTCATTTTTATTCATTTTGCTTGGTTATTCTTAAGTAAAACAGTTGTTTAGTAAGACAGACTACAAAACAGCAGGCTTCAGTGGCTGACTGACTTTGGACATCAAACTGACTACTCTGGGGCAGGGGGTACTTATGAAACAAAAAAATCCCCCTCTCCCCACTTTGGTGCTTGTCAACAAAAACCAGACAAAAATAATTCCAGATGACCATTTTTATCATGAGAAACGACTCACTGCCAGCAATTTAAAACTAGGCCCTTTTGCACTTTCACAAGTACAGTGTAAGGGATACATCAAAGACATAAACCCCCCTTACGTAATTATGTATGAAAGATTTTGCCGATGTTTCTGATTTCCGAAAAAAAAAAAAAAAAAGTCCAAATACATGTACTTCATGTCTTTCATGTAGGAAGGGTGTTTAGAGAGCTCTTCCTGCAGCTGCTTGGAAACCTACTGTCACCCCAAGTTTTCTAGTCCTCAGAGCCAAAGTGTGCATCTGTACTGAGAACTGCCTAACTCCCTTAATTCCAGAAATCGAAGTGTTCGACTGCCTTTTGTCTGCAGGTTCAGATCTGCTACAATCTGCCTAAATTCAGATTCATTTTACATCAGCAATGGTAGCATTCAGAAAGACCTTTTTTAACTGCTGCTGTCTCTGTTTCACTCCTAAACTTTCAATGTACATTTTTTTCATTCTCTGAGCCCGTTTTCCCATTATAAATGTAATTCCTGCCCTTGTTGGATTAGAAGATCTATACAAACACAGGATCATGCAGCAAGCTAATTTGTTACCTGTGCTGTTTAAAAAGAGGGGGGGAAGTAGTGCTATCCACAAAGAGGAAGAGAGTGGGATAGATTCTTCCCTGCTAATAATAGCTTTAATAATGTTTAATGTACCTTGAAAAAGTAATTGGTTCAAAGACAACAAATTGGAATTTTAAGCCAGTACCTTTTTTAATTTCAAGCCCCTCCCTAGTATTTTCAGCAGAATTTCCATCTGTATGAAACCTAACTAGGTTAAATCAAATAAGGCATATAAAAGATATTCTGCTTATTTTCCTGATGAATTCCAAAAAGACCACAACGACACAGTAACTGATAAAGAAAACAATATTTCACTACCACATTTTGTATGCTAGATTCCACTTGGATTAAATTATCAAAGTTTTCAGCAGTGATTTTTCTTCCAGTATTTTTCCTCAATTGGTGGGATCCCAAAATATGTGCATGAAAGCTTCCCTGAATGTCTAGAACTTCTATTTACAGGTGGAAAAGTCCCCCATCAAAGCCAACACCAGAAAAGGTACCCCAATCACCATAACTGTGCTGGCAGTCCAAACAGCAGCAGTGGGATTTGGCCAATGCAAGTGGACTTGCTGTCCTCATGAACATGCCACAGCCCAGCCCTTCACAGGGGCATCCTGCCCACACTGAAATCTGCTGATATTATTGAACAGAGGACCTATAAAACACCTGTGTATACTGATGTTCCAGACACCAGTGTTATCTGGTGTTGCCAGCACCTCCCTTTTCAGAGGCAGTTATTTCAGAAGTCAGAGAAAGCTGAAATGTGACCACTACAGTTAGCGTTAAAAGGCCAGCAAACCACCAGCTATAGCATGTATTTGGAGTCATCCTAACAGCAACAAAATGCAATTGGCTAGCCATGAAATGTGATGCATCTAAAATGAAAAGTCACCAAGAAATGCAAAACTGATCTCTGCTAACCTGCTCTGGCTCTCCTTGCTACTAACTATGCTACTAACGCATAGTCTGATCCCTGATTTACACATGTAAAAGTGTTACATTTCCTAAATTCTCTCTCCACAGCTGTTTATTTGCAGTCACTGGCAACTCCTGAGCAAGTAAAATATGCAGTATCATGTATGACAAATTAGCAGTGCTGAGAGAACATTTGTTAGGCATCAGCTGTTTGAATTTTCCTTTCCATTTAGTATCTTACAGCTTTGTTTTTCCTATAGAAAAAACATGAGACATTTGCTAATGACTAGACATCCTCCCACAGAAACTGGCAGCAAAGGTTCCCCAGACTTCTTAAAAGAATAGGTCAGCTCATGGTGAGCCTTGGTGAAGGCTCTGCATTACAATCAGAAGCCCGTCTCCCACCAGCTGTAGGAGACTGTTGGGGTAATCCAAAATTCCTCAAGAAAAACAGGGTGCATTTCGTATCCCAACCAGGAGACAGATTTTATTTTTTTTATGTGCTTCCTTACATCTCTACGCTATTCTAGTGTGATGCACTGACTGCTAACAGCAGTTTCACATCAGTTTGCGTAGCCATAAATATACATGACAGGAAACAGCAGAACACGGGACTACTGACGACTGTCCTAAAATCTTTGGGATCCTAATGCTCCAGAGCGTATGTACCTATATGTAGAGCATGAAAACCTGGCATGCAGGAACTGTTCAGTGAAAAAATTCTACTGGTCTTGTTGAGGGAGAGGTCCTATTAGGCCTGGCAGAAACACTCACGGTAAGAGTCCAAGCAGTCTTCTTTTCAAGGATAAAGAGAGCACTAAACAGAAACGCATTTAAGACAATTTTTTTCCTGTCAGCACGGCTGAGAAGAGAAACACAGAGGTAACTCCATGTAAATGATCATTTGCAGTAATAGAGAGCACTGACTTTCTTACCTCTGTGGCTGAGGAACTGCCACCTAGGTCCCGGGAGACAAAAAGGTTGACAATGGGCCTACTTATTCGCTGAGTTGCCAAAATTAAGGCCAAAGGCCACCAGAAACTCAGCATCTTCCTTATTGTAGCCTCTCCCTGCAACATACAGGAAAAAAAATAATAAAAAATAGTGGGTTTGGAAAAAAACATGCAGAACTGAACCAAAAGCACAGAGAAAGGATTTTTGCTTTTCCCACCCATTGTCAGTTTGGTACATTAATTTCAACAGTTTTCAATATGAGGAGCCTAAAATATTTTCACCCATGTTAGTAAGACTGATTTGAAAGAAGCTGTGTCATGGATCTAAATAAATAATGCATAAGTTATCTATCTGCATAATTTGTTCCGGATACCAGACAAGGATATGTGAAAACCAGTATGACATTCGAGGAGAAAGAAGATTTTTGAGACCTTCTTCCCTGTGAAATAAGGTGTCCACTTAGTTGATGCTGTGCTGTCTTACAGCTCAGGACAGAGCTCAGGACGGAAGTGCTCAGTAGACAGCACATCCATACCACGGGAAGCGCTGCCTCCGGTGCACTGTTGCTGGAATAGTTTCTACCATGCCTCTTTAAGTGAAAATGTTTTCTCCCACAGGACGGAGAGAGGAGACCCTTCATGCAGAATGGCTTAATACAGTATTATAACACAAAAAGCAAGATTAAAATGATTGAATTTGAAAAAGCACCAAGTATTAAGACATACCCCCATTTCAGGCCCACTTCTGTCAGGAATGACATCATGTATGTTCCTGTAGTATCCGAGGCATAACGTGGTACATCGGACAAGTGCTCCCATGTATAAGGACAAGATTGGGATCAAGAGAGGCTCCCTGCACTCCAAGTGACTGTGAAGCAAAATGGCTACAAAAACAACCTGCAGGGCAAACAAATAAATGATTAGCAATTTGTCTGCATATTTCTTTAGGTTCAACATATCTCTCATCTGATTCAAGCCAGTCCATCTGAACCAACAACCACGACTACAGTATCTATCTGACTTCAAGCTTGTGGCATTCGAAACTTTGGCCAGGACTGCCCCCCCCCTCCCTCCCCCCCCGCCATTTGGTCATACAAATGAGAGGAACAAGAGTTAGCATCACACAGAAGCTCTACTAAACAGTAGTTGAAGGTACGGGCAGGTGTCAGACTAGGAGCCATAAATAGGAGAAGGTTAGCATCAAAGTCTGGCAAGGTCTGGCAGCAAGCATGTGGCTGAATGTCACCCTTCCCAGGAGAATGTGCTATTCTGATATACGCTGAGGCTGGAGACATGCTTCTAGGGTCAGCTTCTAAGCCCTCATTTTTTTTTTTTTTTCATTGCGGGGAGGGAAGGGGGGTAGTGGCAATGAAAAAGCCAGATGTTTTAAAGTATCCACTTCAGCATTTATAAGCAGGAAATCTTATGTCATCCTACTTTTCTACTTTTTTGAGTGAAATTTCAGTATTTCAACATTCTCTCTTCAGCTATCTGAGTGCCACATTGATGTAAATGAAATGGAAACTTTTGGGCTAATGAACAGCTCATAATTCAGTCTTGTAAGATTAAATGTTCAGTTCAGAAAATGCAAAGGAATTAATATGGTATTGTTTTCTTCGTTAAGTACAGAGCTGATGATGTGCCTGTTAAATTCCAAATGTCTCTGAATGGGGGGCACAACTGGTAAGCCAACTGTGTTTGGTGCTGTGAACAGCAGAATCAAGGACAACGCTGCCAGGACATGCTGGCATTCAAGTGAGTTACAAGAAATACGAAACACATTGTTCAGGGGCAGGTTCTCTCCTTCATTGCTAGAGCTCAAGAAATACTTCAGAAAAATCACACTGTGCAAATGTTTCTTAGGCATGCCATGCTGTTCACGAGGGTTTGCAAAAACGCTCTTTTGAACCCTAGAAACAGAAGCAAAGTCAGTCACAAAAAGTGTGTCTATGCAGCTACCCAAGGAGAATTCGCTACTGCCTGCACACGTATTGCTTGTGTGGGGAGCAGATGTAGGTGTAGAGAGAGAGTTCTGGGGTATGGAGAGTCACAACTTTCTGTTTTCCAGATTTGCTCTTGTGCTGTGCAATATTTTGTTGAGAGAAGATGACAGGTGCCATATTCTTCACAACCCTGGCACCCCACTCACCAACCGTTGTGGAAAGGGCATGTGTACAATGGCCAAAATAATAATTTGTTTCTGTATTTAGCTGTATATGACCTGACATGCATTCAGGGTCAGCAAACTCTATAGGTTGCATCAGAACAAGAGCAGATCCTGAGGGTTAAGGTCATTTACAGTAATTGGTATTATCTTGAGGGATTTAGTGCAGTACTGGAGAGGGGCAGACCTGCCAAACATAGAATAGCAGCTGACTGAATGGTTCAACCTGGTTTATGGTTTGCTCGTATTTAGTGGGAGGAAAATGCTGTGGAAAATTGAACTAAGTGTTGTTGACTTCATATTTCCTTTGATGTCATACTGTTATTATCCTCTTTCTTACCCAGTCATTACCCCATTCAGCTGGTAATGGGGCAGTACAGCAACTGTTTTACAGGTGCTGGGACTCTCCATTTTGCAATATATATGCTTTAAAAAGAGGCCTGTATATTGATTCTCAAATGCTACAACACTGGTCATCAGCAATGTGTATGAATGTTGTTTTTTAACTGTGTCTAGTACAAAGCTCACAAATGAAAGCTGAAACAACATTTGGTCTTCTCTGCATCACCAGGGTCTGTCACCACAGATCCCTTCTGCTGCAGCTCTGAGCCTTCACCTTTGGGGCCAGTAGCAAGAACAGTGCCCTACTGGGACTCAGAATGGCTTACACTACTGCATTCACTGGATTAGACGGCATGTGCAAAGCTGATGGGTGAACTGGGAGAATCAAGCCTTCACTTCTCCACCTACAAGTCCCACTCAGGATTTCAGTGCAACTGAAGCAAAGCGTGGGTGAGAATGCACAGGGGGGAGAAAGGTCTCTTTCAAAACAGTCAGTCAGCCTCAGGAGTGGTAGAAGCCATCAGCCTCTTTGCCTGACCTTTCTTTTTCCCAGATGTACACATGTACATACTACTTGTTTCTCAGCCATTCTGAAACAGGGTTGTGGAGGTGCCGGAAGACATGGCCCCTAGCCCAAACAATCCTGGTTCCCTTCTCCTGACATCGGTCCAGTCAAGTGAGGCCAGCCTCAACCACAACTGTCAGCAAACAGCCTCCACAGAGTGGGGAAACAGCCAGAGAACAGCACACAAGATTAATTCTTCTGGTGTGCTGTTCATGGTAGAGAGAGAAGGCAGTCTCTGCACAAGGGAGCTCCTGCTCAGGAAAGCATCGAGTCTGTACCGCAATGGAAACAGTGACTGCTAAGAGGAGTCATTACCTGAGCTATGACATCTGAGATGGAGGCACATCCCACCAGGAAACTGTACTTGTGTTTCAGCAGAATCCCAGCATGGGTCCATGCCTAAAAAGAAGGCAGAGAAGAGTTTGGGAAGTGATTACGGTATTTGTGAATGATTTCAGGCCCCAGAATGCTGTTTGCTGTTTGTTCCATTATACACAAAGCTCTTTCCCACCAGCAGTACCTGGTGTGAGCCTGGGCCAATGTTAAGGCAGTAATGCAGCGAAAGCACTGCCGCATTCAGTTCCTCATTGCCAGGGCTGACAGCGAGAATGGGAATAATTTTATAGACTGTATAGAAGTTTCTCAGCAGATCTAGTAAGAAACTGTCCCTTCTTCATAAAACAGATGCTGCACAGAACGGATTATCATACTAAATAATACGAGGGAAAAAGTGTTTATTCTTATTCACCAGCTGGATGCACCTCTGAAGTGTAATATTCATTGGCCCACTGAGTTATATTGAGTCCTGTCTGGAAAATAAAACTTAATGATCCAACTTTTTTTTTTTATTGTCAGCTACTGTTTCAAGCAAAGTGGTACAGAAAATGGCGGAGGCATGCCATGAGAACGTTATCCTTTATCAGTTCTACACACAAGTAGAGGCATTAAAGAGAGCTGCCATATATTTATGTTGTTCAGCCCACAATCAGTAAGCCTGGTAATTTGGGAAGCAGCAGACCATGCCATGTGTGGCTGTCTTGCCCAAGCATTTGAGATATACTGGCCTTAGCTGTGCTTGCAAAAATTGATGGTAAGAAGTATCTTTTCAACAAATTTGCTTTGAGAAAATAATTGAGCTTATTCCTTGTGAGCTCTACAAGTGAGCTGGGAATGCACAGCAAATCCAACTCTTTCACTACAAATTGGAAGGAGAGGACAGATACAGACAACTGGTGCAGCTCATTAAGAGCTCATCAACTGTGCAAGACGACCAGCGCTTTTCAGCATGCACATACAGTAACTCTAACAAGGCAGCTAAGGTTTTTCACATTTGTCATGATCTCTGGATGTTCAAAGTCCACCCAGATGCTTTTTCCAGGTAGCAGAAAATGATGCGTCCTGGTATATCCAGAGCTACTGCTTGCAAAGGACCCACCTTCCTCCTGCACACCTCCAGTTACCCATCAGGTAACAGACTTTGTGAACTAAGGTCACCAAAGAGAAAAAAATAACATTAATACTAAAATTGAGTTCTGAATCAGGCACTCACCATGGCATCCATAAAAGGGAAGGCAGCAAGATAAAGAAAGGCCCTCCGAGTTTTACTTCCCACTGATTCATCCACATGGTGCAGCTTATTAATAATGTAATACCCCAAATCGCTATAGGCTGTAGAGACACAAGAATAGGAATGAATAATGAAGGTTACATATGGACTCTGGGTGAGATACTCAGAAGCACCTGAAAGACTGTGACGCCTAGGAGCTCAGGCATGCATGCACTCAGCAAACAGCTGCAGGGGCTTCAGGATATTACAGCCTCACCAGCTGCTGTTTATGACTAAGGAGTGCTCTCATGGTTCTTTTTCAAGTAACCTTTAGCAGAAGAGCGATAACAAATGGCTGCGTTGGGAGATGAGTATAGTGTGTGCCACATCTGTTTGCTAAATGAACGCACTGGTACTCCAGAAAATCTACTGCTCTTTCATTAACTCAAGGCTCTTTACTAGAAAAGCTGTTTTCACCAGGCGTGTATTTCATTGGATGTAGTACCTTATACCTTATAAATGCTACAACCATCTGTTGTCACAGCATTCTCATGACATTACCTGTAAACCTGCCCAAAGCTGTAAAAGGATATTACGACTTGCGAAGGCGCGCAACAAATCACACTCGTTATGCCTCTCCCTTAGTCTGCTTAATGATCACCGCAGCTGGGACCGGTCAGGGCATGGTGACCTTCGCTGTACGGCCTCTGGGCAGCCTCCACCAGCCTTAGTTTCCTTCCTTATCTAGAGCTGGCATCTCAGGAGCCACAAGTCAGAAAAGGGCACCTCTGGATACCAGGAGGCTGCCACTTCCCATCGCCAGTATGTTATTTCGCTGTCCTGTTCCAACCCAAGATGAGAATTTTCAGCGTTGGGCAACATGCCTCTTGCCAGGTCTGTCTTCTCAAGGCGTTGGGTTGAGGACGGCACAGACGCAGGGACTCGCCACACAGCTCTCTGAAGACCTGCTTATGTCTCTGTTAGTACCCATGTTATCCAGCTGTTTTAATAACCCCATAGTCCTCTCCATGACCAGGAATAACAAAGAGCAGGCTATGAGTGGCGTCTCCAAACTATGGGGACTTACATATTATGCACAGTTAAATAATCCGAATAGTTTTTAACTTTTTATAAACTATGTTCTAGACCTGCATATTATTACTTCATTTCCTCTATACACTTGTAATAGCTGTTAAAAGAAGGATTAGGTTGTAAAGTCAACCTCCCAACACAAGTAATGGCAGAATTACTTGTGCCTGGGGAAACTTACCTCAGTTCTCTTCCACTTGTGTCTTTTCTAAGATAATTTTTTCAAAAGTGAGCATTTATCTGATTTTCCATTTATAACAAGTCTATTATCATTGTACTGAGCTTCATACAAAGTATTTCAGGGAAGTTATCCTTTTCATGCATGCAGGTCACATAATTGGATTGACAAATGCTCACAGTAGTCGTCCAGATCAATCTTTTTAGCTTAGAACTCTCTCTCTTAACTCATAAACAGTGTTTGGAAGCCATTAAAGAGGAGTTTAAGTCATCATTGTTTTGTGATGGCTGAGGGATACAGCAGTTAAATGGTTAACAGTGTAACAAACAAGACAGTGTAAACAAAGTAGTAAAATAGAAGGAGGTGGTCTGACAGCACTGGAAGCTGGCATGAGCCTCATTCCAAAGAACCAGGACTGCCCAAAAGATACTAAAATGTTAGAAACTCGCCTTTTTCCCTATGCTGGTCCCTATCTGTGTCCTTCACCTGAACTATGACTGTTAGACTAGCAGCCTCCCAGCTCACCCAGTAATCCCCAAGTTGCTTAGCCATCCTCCTGAGGCACTCCCAGCCTTGTTCCCTTTTGAAGGGGGTTGGGGAAGAACTTCAAATCAGGACTCCAACCTTTCCCCAGTTCAGGGAGGCCAGTTCAGTCCTTTAAGTGTCCATGTGCTTGTTGCAGACCAGTCACACATCAAGCACAGCCTCTTTTTAACACCAATTTTCGCTCAGTATTTTGAAAACTCTCTGTTATGCCCAGATTTTTGCATGGTAAGTCCTTGTGGAAAGCTGCATTTATGGCAGGGCAGTACATGGACGTTTCTGAATTGAGTTATTTGAATGAAGAAGTTTGGAAGGCATGTGAGGCAAAGCTGCCTGTGAGGGTCAGATTCACCGACCTGTCTCTTAAGTTCTGCTGAAGTTGCTTTACATTTATCCTGCACAAAAACTTAAAAACTGCTGCAGGAAACACCGCAGCCTTAGTCCCCACGTGGGGACTGACAGAACCAGAGTCCAGAAGCTGAGGAGCCTGCTTCTGCGGAGGGGCCTCCACCAGCAGCACAGTGCTGGGGAGACAGCACGCCACAGATGTCACCCTCCGTGCTCTCCTGCACTTCACCTGCTCGGCTTCAGCTGCTTTAAATGAGACTTAAAGTGTTTAGAAAGTGAGTAATAAGTAACTTTTTTAGCTCTAAAAGCCATTGAGATGTTTACTTTTTTTTTTTTTTTTTTAAAGTTGACTATTACAGAAAAATTCACAGAATCAGAGGGGTCAGAGGCTGAACTACTCTCACTTCTAGGAACAGACGGTTCACCACAGGGTTGTAGTTTATTGGGAGGGCACCCTCGAGGGACTTATACCACCACAGCCCAGAGCACCACATTTTTAAGATTTCTAGGGGTATTAGCACTGTGCTCTGTAAGCTTTAAGATTCTTTTTTCCTCTCCCCCATCCAAAAAAAGATCTAACTGCACTTTTTAATGTGATTTTGATTTTAAAATCATAATGGCTAAGCTTAAGAGCTGGTTTTAAAATAGTCAAGTATTCCATGTGTCAGTGAAAGCACACAATCACTTTTGCTGTTGTCCATGAACATTTCCATCCTCAGAAAGAAGGACTCTGCAAGATGAGATTTACTGGCAAATATACAGGCATGTGTCTCTGAGCTGTGAATAAAGCAAGTGCTGATGCAATTAGAACTTAACCTTGGCCAACCTTACAAACTTATTATGAAGCATGGTACAAAATTAATAACACAGACAACAGAGCTGAAGAGTATTACATGACTCTAAAGCAGATGGCTCATCCCATTCCTTGCATCATTTCAACCAAAACAGAGAAGTCCAACTCCAAGACAAGCTGCCTGTTTGCGCTCCTCTAAGACCTCATTTATTTTGATATGTCTATGGATTAGTTCGCTAGAGAATTTAGGCAGGAATTCTTGCTTTTGGCTTTTCCAGTTGAGTTTTAAGACCCAGAAGCTTAAGAAATGACACTGAAAACTGCTCACCTAATTGGATCTCTTCTTCCCTACACCGATTTCTCCAACAAGCCAGTTACTACCACATAAACTTCAGACATTCTGAAAACACACTCTTAATGATGCCAGCAGTCTCCAACAAATAGCTGTACCGTAGTCATTTTGGAGCTGTCTGCCACCCAGCATGTTATACTTAACATCATAAAGAAAACAAAAAGAAACCCTCATGGGAAGTGTTACCTTTTAATCCCAGACACAAAACTACATATCTTAATATTAGCTTTACGAGAGGAAAAAAAATCCAAAAATGTTTTTGGGTTAAAGCGTGTTCTTTTTAGATGCATTCCATCTTCATACTTTGCTGCCAGTTTTAAAAATGAACTTGGAGACTTGAGAAATAAAAATCTATTCTGCTGCTTGTCAGAAAGACGGCTCACATGGCCAAAACTGGTGCTGGTCAGGAGTTTGTTCAGCTAAGTGATTTGGGCAGATAGGAAAATGCCAATTAAAAAAAAAAAGAATGGTAAATCTTTGTTTGGAGATAACCACAGGGTACGTAGATTTCTTTAGGTCTTTGATTAGCCTGACTTAAAGCAGAAGCAAAAGCACGTGTCCCCCTTGTGAAAGCCCAGATGATCAGAGTGTTTTAAGCTTTGTGATTTTTTTGCTCATAGTAATAAATGAATTTTAAAAAAACCAGCTTAGGAGCATCTCAATGCAGACTGAACACAGCAATCATCTTTTTCTGTGCTCAGCTCTAGCTGCAAAATTGCATTAGCTGATTTTCTCAAATCTATCAATGACCGTTGGTCTCTGAAATACTCTTAGGTAGGCCAACATCTCATAAGTCTCAAAATTAGCCTGTTTTAACTAAAAACCGATCCTTGCTATCCTAAAATCCACAAATGCTTTGGTCACAGGCTGTCTTCCTTCTTCCTCTGCTCTGACTACCTTGCTGATAAGAAACTGCCCTTGTTGTGGGAGAAAGGTTGGGGCAGGTGGGAAGCATGTTACTGCTTTAGCAATGGCCATCTGAAGACACTGCAGTAGGGCACATGTTTAATGAAAAATATTTTATCATCTTTTAGAA